TGATATGATATTGTATGTAAGGAGACATGGAAAATTCCAACAGAAAACTCCTAGAAATTATTAATATGTTCAGTAAAGTGGCAGGTTGCAAAATTAATCTACAAAAGTCTGTAGCCTTTCTATATACCAATAATAAGCAATCAGAGAGAGAGTGCATGAAAATACTACCTTTACAATAGCTGCAAAAAAATGTCTCAGAATAAATCTGACCAAAGACATTAAAGAGCTCTCCTATGAAAATTTTAAATCTTTAAAGAAAGAGATTGAGGAAGACATCAGAAGATGGAAGGACCTCCCATGCTCATGGAATGGAAGAATTAGTATTGTGAAAATGAGCATCCTACCAAAAGTCATATATAGATTCAACGCAATGCCAATCAAAATCCCCATGACACTTTTCACAGAATTGGAAAAAAACAACGTAAGATTCAAATGGAAGCACAAAAGAACTCGGATAGCCAAAGCAAGCCTGAGCACTAAGAGCAATACCGGGGGGATTACTATACCAGATTTTAAGCTGTATTACAGAACTATATACATAAAAACATGGTACTGGAGCAAAAATAGACCCATATATCAATGGAACAAAATTGAAGACCCAAATATGAGTACATGCAATTTCAGCCACTTGATATTTGACAAAGCGGCCAAGAATATTAACTGGAGGAAAGACAGCATGTTCAGCAAATGGTGCTGGCAAAACTGGATCTCCACCTGTAGAAGAATGAAACTAAACCCCTATCTTTCACCCTGCACAAAAGTCAATTCCAAATGGCTCAAAGACCTCAATGTAAAGCCTGAAATTCTGAAACCGTTAGAAGAAAACATTGGGAAAAACCTACAGGATATAGGTGTAGGAAAGGATTTTCTAAACCGGACATCAATTGCTCAGGAAACAAGGGCAAGAATTAACAAATGGGACCTCATTAAACTAAAAAGCTTCTATACATCAATGGAAGAAACCACAGAAAACCCACAGAATGGGAGAAAATCTTCACCAGCAACACATCCGACAGAGGTTTAATATCTGGAATATATATCGAACTCAAAAAACAGAGAATCAAGACAAGAAGTAACCCAATTAAAAGATGGGCTAAGGAGCTGATCAGAGAGTTCTCAAAAGAAGAAGGTGACTAAGAAGAATCTTAAAAGATGTTCAACATCACTTATAATTAGGGAAACGCAAATTAAAACCACTTTAAGATTTCACCTTACCCCAGTCAGACTGGCTAAGATCAAGAGAACAAATTATACCAAATGTTGGAGAGGATGTGGGGAAAGGGGAACACTCATCCAGTGCTGGTGGGGCTGCAAACTGGTTCAACCCCTATGGAAAGCAGTGTGGAGAACTCTTAAAAATTACAAATTAACCTACCATCTGACCCAGTTATACCACTCCTTGACATATACCCAACTGACTCATTCTATTGCAGAGAAATTTGTCCCCTAGCTAGCTTCTCTTTCCTTCTTGAGATTCACTTTCCTTCCTTTACTGCGATGGAGTGCAAAGCTAAATGATTATGGCAATCTATTCCAGGATATTAAATTTAACAGGAAGTGTTTGCACATTTATTTGAAGTCAGTTGTTGGTTTGTGCATCTTCTTTCTAGACTGTCCTTGGTTAAAATTCCTACTGATCCTCATGCCTCTGCGTCTTCAGAATATCCTACTGATATGTGCCAACACAAGGAACCTAGGGGATGAAGGGAAAGAAGGAACTCAAGAGAGGTAGGATTGTAGAAAAAAGGTATTGTTAAGGGAGAAAGGGGGGAAAATGGGGTCACTTTAATTGCGGAAACCATGACGGAGGGGTGAGACAATGTGAGAAATAAATAATTCCTAGCTAGTTTTGAAAACCAGAGGGAACCATATTACTCCTACAACCTACTGACAAATTATATATAGCAGATCAAGAAATATATGTGTAGGTAAGGTTTATCTGAGAATAATAGGTCTTTGCCCAAGATTTATCTACATGACACACAGTAATTAATAGTACCAGAGTGGTGGAACTAACCTTCTTGGATGTTGGTGTTTAACAGATATACTTTGAGGCCTATAATAATTTGGTCAGAGTGACATAAAAGATAGTTTTTGCTCCTTGCTCGCCTAGGTGGAATAGTTCCAGGGGACTGCGAGCATCTCTCAAAATGTCCTATAATTGTGGTGGGTCACCTGTCCTCTTGATAAACGAGGCCGAGAAGTCCCCACCAGATGGACTTGAACCAGTGTCCAGTCTATAAAGAGGAGGTTCAACACAGAGGAATCATTTCCTCCATACTTCCAACGAAGCCAACCATGGTCGAGTAGGACCTTTGACTTATCTTCACATAGATGGAACTGGTAAAGGAAAGGATCCAGGGGCTCCTCCCAAGCCCATGTGACCCCTGAGGAACAGATCCTCAAACAACCTTTAGATAAAATAAATGGGTTTATCTGGGCCAACTATATGGCCTTAAACACCCAAAAGGAAAGTATAACCAAAGATTAAAGGGGCCAATATAATTTCTTAAAAGTCCATATGTATAGCTAAAGGCTACATAACAAGCAACAGTGCCAGATGGGAGGAGATGCCTTATTTTGAGTTGTTGGCCAGGGACTCCTAGCTAGTAACCCATCATAAAACTGGGAAAATGAACAGCAGACCCCAATCTTATCTAAATATTGACAACTGATTGCTGCTAGATGAGGAAGAGCTGACCCTCCTAAAACAAAGACCTCTAGATAGGGTGACTAGATTCACCAGAAGGGCGAGTAGTGGGGAATGGCTGGGGGTGCTGACAACACAGCAGACAGTAGCAGGGATATCAGAGTATAAGGGCTCTAATGGGGGGAGGGAGGCTATGGGAGGGTGCCATCTGGGAAGTGGGTGTATAGTTGAATAAGATGGTTTGGGGTGTTCTCTGTGATATTCACACACACATACACACACAAAAAATCAACAAATTTAAACAATGTATTATATTTGAGGAGGAAGCATGGAAATTTATGTTATGTTAATTAGTAGAGGTGATAAACATTACCACTGAAATCTACCTGATGACTTTATATCCATGCTTAGATGCCAAGGAGCTCAGAAAGTAACTGACTGTGACTAGTAATAATCAGATATATAGAGATTAGAAATGCATGTGCAAACATCTTAATGTTAATTGCATTAAACATGAATTTTTCTGTATGTCACTGCATATTTTAATAATGAAATGGAGCTCTTTTTTAAAGGTTAAAACCTCATTTAATTTTATGTCTTATAGGGTTTATACTGAGTATAATATTGTATAACTGTATTAATTCAACTGTAAACCTAAAAATTACAGTCAATTTTGAAAGAGATGCATCTTACCTCCGGAAATCGTTACTGAATTTGTCAATGCTGTTGTAATGACATGCTTCTAAGAATGTGATTATTAAATAAATAATTTTTAAAAAAAACCAAGAGTATTGAAATTTTGAAATTAAGAAGACTATAATTGCACTGGAGAGATAGCTCAGTGGTTAACACCACTTACTGCTCTTCCAGAGAACCTGGGTTCAGTTCCTGGCACCCACATCCAGCAGCTCACAACTGCCTGTAACAACAGTTACAGGGATCTGATACCCTCTTCTGGCCTCCCCGAGCACCTGCATATGCATCGTGCATGTACATGCACTCAGGTACACATATATACACAGAATAATAAATACATCTTTTTTTTAAAAAAAGGTTATCGTTACCAAGAGATACTTTGTGAGGAAGTGTTGAGCTTGTCTGTGTTTCCACATCACAACTCTCTTTAGACTGATGATATTCTGTCAATTTTTTAAAAAAACTCATGAGAAAACCTAAAAAACATAACATATATAGTTTGTTTCAGAATTTTTATTCAATCATTGCTCTACTATTTATGAATCTTGTTTTTAGAACATGACCATTTAAGAATGATTACTGAGGAAAGGTCTTTCCAAACATGAAAAAAACCTCAAAGTCAAGTGGGGGCGCATGACTTTGATTACAATACTGAGGAAGCAGAACAGAACTGTGAGTTCACAGCCAGCCTAGTTTACATAGCAAATTCCAAGGAAACTGTGAAACCATGTCAAAAAAAACCCCACAAAACTCAGGGCTGGAGAGATGGCTCAGTGGTTAAGAGCGCTGGCTGTTCTTCCAGAGGATCCAGGTTTGATTCCCAGCACCCACATGGACATCCCCTAACAGGGCATGTGATACCCTCTTCTGGCCTCTGTGGGCTTTGCACAACATGGGTGCACTTATATACATTCATGTAAAGCACTCATATACATAAAATAATAGTTTTAAAAACCACAAAACAAAAAACTTACAAGGAATAAGATCAATATAGCCACAAAAATTTTTAAAAATATACATGGCATGAAATAAAAGTCAAAGCTGCATCATATATTGGAAAAATATTTGCAATTATACAGAGAGGTCCCATCATAATATCAAAAAAGTCTTACAAATCAGTAAAACAGAAAAACTGGACATAGACCAAGTTCGGGAAGAAAAGTTAAAGGGAAAATAAACATGAGCATTTTCAAATGATAAATAAGAATTCATAAATGCAAATTCACACTATAACAGAGAGACCACATTTGTCATATTACATTGCTAAGATTAAAATCCTGATAATGTCAAGTGTTGATAAGGAGTGGGGATGGTAGGCATGCTCACTCAGGAAGGAAAATTGTCATTTTTTCTGTATATTCCAAATGCACCTTTAACCTAGTCACTCTACTATGAGTTCATACTGCTGTACTAACTGTCAGAAGGGCACAATGTATGCATGGTGTACACTGGTGGCTTCTTGTGGCAAAAGGCAAACAACAAATCAACTGAGTCTCAGTCAATAGAGGGCTAAATGCATTCTTGAAACTGTCTAAACACACCGGTGTAGAAAGACAGCTAAAAGAACTCCTGGTTCTTTATCATCCATGTTAATCTTTGTTTTCTACTGAAGATATTTAAATTCTAGTCCCACAATTTTAACTTCCCTTACATAGGCAGAACCACATCAAATCTTCAGTTTACCCTAATAAACATCGCTCCCCTATGTAACAATCACATACCAGCTACCTAATGATTTCTCAGGAATCTTTGCCTGTAAAGCTCAAACTGCCTCAGCAAAAATTCTTATGATTTTGTCTCAGAAATTCAAGGCCAGTGGTTCTTTCAAAGATAACTGCTATATTTTCCCTTACATGATATGTTTAGGATTTTTCAAGTTTGTTTTTTTTTTTTTTTTATCATTGGTTTGAGGGAAGGTTCAGTGATTAAAAGCATTTACTGCTCTTTGCAGAGGACCCAACTTTGGTTCCCAGCACCCATGTTGGATGGCTCACAACCACCCTGTAACTCCAGTTCCAGGGGATCTGACACCTCTGACCTCTGCAGGCATTTGTACTCATATGCACATGCTCACACAGAAGGTCAGACAGACAGAAAGACACAAATCTGTGTACTGGTAAGATGGCTCAGCAGATAAAGGTGTTTGCCACCAAGCCATACAACCTGACTTCAATCCTTGGGATCCACATAGTAGGAGAACTAACTCCACCAAGATGTTCTCTGACCTCCACAGGCATACCATGGTCAGAAAGACACGCAAGTCAATGTAAAAACTAAGTTTCATCTTATAATATAAAAGCCTAAGAATGAGCCACATGTGGTGGCACATGCCTTTAATCCCAGCACTCAGGAGGCAGAGGCAGCCAGATCTCTGTGAGATCAAGGCCAGGCTGGTCTACATAGTGAGTTCCAGGCCAGCTAGGGATACAGGGAGAACCTGTCTCAAAAACAAAAACAACAAAAAAATTCTAAGAATGTATCTATGTTCATTGATTTTTGCCTAACTCTAAGGCTCCCCCATCTCTTAATCCACAAAATTTTCTTTTTATCAGGAACTCAAACTAAAAACAAAAAACTTGACCAATCTTTAGATGTACTCTTTCACCTAGATTTTTTCCTTTTTGGACACAGGGTCTCATAAAGCCCAGGCTGACCTGAAATTCCCTATGTAGCAGAGAGTGACCTCGAACTTTTGATCCCCCTGCCTTCCAAGTGCTGGGATTACAACTCTGCACCATCACATCTGGTTTATGCAGTACTGGGGACTGAACCCAGGGCTTCATACATGTTAGGTAAGCACTCTACCAACTCAGCCATACCCCAGCCCCACAGTGTATTTCTATCAGTATTACCTTCCCTCAGCTCTGCAGTATTTTTAGAGCCCCCTAAGTATCTACTCCTCTAATGTCCTCCCAACACCACCACATCCACGTCTAGCTTCTAAGAAGGATATCTATCCTCTTCCATCTGTCTATCCATCCATCCATTCATTTACTTATGTCAGTACAGAGTTACAGGTAAGTCATGTTATATTTTGTGTGAAACTTACTTTTATTTAGATTATCCAATATACTCCCATGTCTAGCTTCTAAGAAAGTTGTCTATCCTCTTCCATCTGACTGTCTATTCATCCATCCATCCATTCATTTACTTATGTCAGTATGGAGTTACAGGTAAGTCATGTTATATTTTGTATGAAACTTACTTTTATTTAGATTATCCAATATTTTATTTTGTTGCACCAATTAATCTAGCTTTGGTCTTTAGGGAAAACTTTCATTTTGGAATTTTAACTAATATCTGTACTACAAGATGCTCTAGGTTAATCTTGTAATTCCCTGTCCAAATTCTACAATTAGCTATTTCTCCAACAAGCCCTGGGCCCTTTTAAATTATAGAATGGTAGTAAGAGGCACCCAGACTTCTCCAAAATGGGCACTGATGTACTCACTGCTGCTACTGGAGAACCTTCTTTCAGGCCCTCTCAGCTGATAGAACAAGGATACAGGTCATACACACTAATTTATGTATCTACACAGAGTCATAAATACTTCTACATATGGTATCTACACCTACATTAAGCTAAACATGAGTTCAAATTGATGTCTCTAATCTTTTATCACATTATTAATTCTAACCTCCTCTCTTGCTGATCTGTAAATTCCCACTCTAAAATGTTTTCAATTGCATTTACTTATTTGTGTGCATGCATGCAAGATCAGAGGACAACTTGCAGGAATTGGTTCTCTCCTTCTATGACGTGGATCCAGGGGATCGAACATAGGTCATCAGGCCTGGTAGTAGGCACTTTTATCCACTGAGCCATCTTGCCAGCCCAAATTCCCATTCTAACATTGAGAAAGCTGGCTCCTACCATGTATTTATTACCCATTGACTTAAGTGCAATTTCAGAATTATTACTAAGTTCTCCCCATGGGAAATGACCATCACCTACAGTATATTCCTTCTGGCAAATTCCTTTGGCTCTTAGGTTCCACTCATTTCCAAAGTTAGGTAGTTCATCATTCGCCAACCTGCCAGTGACTACATTATAGTAACTCTATTCACAGTCTGCATTCCATTCAGCAGAGATCACCTGATATTCTAAATTTGAATTGTGCTGCTCCTCATCCTGGTTTTAGCCAAGATTAACAAAGGGTTTATGGTTAGCAAAGGGCTCTATCTAAATTTTGGTACTTGGATGCTTATCATGTCTGCTGCTCGGTTTCTCTGACTTCCAGAAATTTTACTGGGTAGAGCTGGTAACAGCTGTCAGTCAGATATCTTTCTGATCCAGAAGCATTTAAGTAGACTGTAGAATGGTGAAAATTTATCTTTTAAGAATAGTAGAAATATCTAGAGTAAATGGAATATTTCTAAATACCCCGTCACTGCCTAAATTTCCTTTGCAATATTTTAGCAACAGCCAAATTAGTCATATAGTTTGGGTCTGTGCTGTCTAACATGCATCAACTACTCACATGTGGATAAGTAAATTTGAAAATTCACTGTTCAGTCACAGTAGACAAATTATAAGTACCATAGGAGCTTAGAGGCCACCACATGAGACAGAACAGACATCTCCATCATAACAGAGTTAAACTAAACAGCACTGCTTTAGAGTTCAGAATATAGGATCTATCTGTTTATTTACCAATAATGGAGGAATATTCATTTTTATACTTTGTATTATAATTCACTTTTGTTTAGATCATCCACTCCATCATAACAGAGTTAAACTAAACAGCACTGCTTTAGAGTTCAGAATATAGGATCTATCTGTTTATTTACCAATAATGGAGGAATATTCATTTTTATACTTTGTATTATAATTCACTTTTGTTTACATCATCCAACACTTTATTTGTTGCACAAATAGTTCCAGCTTTAGCCTTTGGGAGTTCGTTCACTGTAGAACGTAGAGTTATTTACTATACTGAAATTCAGTAGTGATATATTTTGCAGGCAGCCTAGAATGTCTTGTAAGCTAATTTACCTACTCCCTGCAAACATTACTCCTAAGAGACCTGGCAATTAAGTCAAAGACTAATGGCTGGCAGAAAGTAGATACTCAGATGTTTACTCAACAGGTTCCAAACATTATGAACATCCTAGCCAGGATGGCAACAGTGCCAGCAACAGATAAAAGCCCAAATGCAAACCAAGATAAAACGATGGTATCTTGATATGAGATACTACTTAAAAAGTCAAAAGATTAACTACTCATTGAGGTAGATAAGTTGCCAACTTATGTTCAAGATACAAAACCGATTTCAAATGTTCTAAACCACAGGTATTTCTGTAAAGACTATAAAGTAATAAAAAATAAAATACATAAAAAATAAAATAAGAAAGATGGCTCAATGAATAAAGGCATGTGACACCAACCCTAATGGTCTGAATGTGATCCCCGGAGCAAATACTCTTCGGACCTCCACAGAAGAGACACACACACTCACGGACACAAAGACACACATAAAATAAATAAATGAAAAAGAAAATTGAGGGGCTGGGAAGATGGCTCAGTGGTGAAGGACACAAACTGCTCTTGTAGAGGACTCAAGTTTGGTTTCTCTGCACTCATGTTGCGGGATTCACAAATACCTCGAACTCCAGCTCCAGAGGGATCTGACATTTCTGGCCTCTGCAGATACCTGCACTCCCATACACATGCACCTACAAGTACACAGATACAGACACAAAGATAGACATACACACACACACACACACACACACACACACACACACACATACACTTACACATAATTTTTTAAAATTTAATCTTTTTGTAGAAAGATGGAAATATAGGTAGGGGAAATGATCTGTATTTACCAAAATAACATGTGAACTGTTGTTTATTTAAAAAGTCATGGTCAGCAAGGAAAATTAAATTATTTAATTTTAATTAAATCACCTACTCCTCCCTCTAATAATTATCAGCGTCTTGTTTTATAGGGAAAAACATATATAAAAACCTTGCTGGTCTCCACAAAGGTGAAGGTTCCTACCTTTTTGGTTTTCTTTATCAAATCCTGAAACCTGTTAAAGGAAAATAGTTTACCTTTATTAAAACTACTCATTTATGAGGAGCAAATCAAAATAAGTCATAAAAACAATCCTACCACTGATTTGTAGAGACTGGATGAGGGTTTGATTCTAATGAGCTGTAATAGATCCTGCATGGTAAATACCTTAAGGGGAGATTAAAACAAAAAGATATTTAATAATATTAAAGATA